AAAACTTACTTGTCTTAGTAATGGCCTTTATGGTTACTTCTCATTTCTAGTACTGATTTGGAACTTTTGGCATAGGGGAGTTGTTTTTTCTTTGTTTGTTTTCTATTTTGAAGTAAGGTCCCATTATATTTCCCAGGTTGATAGTTCTGTTCTGCTTTTGCTTCTTCAGTTGCTTGGGACTAGGTGATGTCACCATTCTGGCTACTAGTCCAGGACTTAGTCATTCATTGCACTTAGTACCCTTTAGGCTTTTATGTTTTTTGTTTTTTTGGTGTGTGTACATGTGTGTGCTCGCGCACGCATGTGCATGCATGTTTTGGGAACTGAACCTAGAGCTTTAGACTACCACTGAGCCCTCTGCTCCACCTTTATTTACTTTTTTAAAAAAAGTTATTTATTATGTATACAGTGTTCTGTCTGCGTGTATGCCTGCACACTAGAAGAGGGCACCAGATCTTATTGTAGATGGTCGTGAGCCACCATGTGGTTGCAGGGAATTGAACTTAGGACCTCTGGAAGGGCAGACAATGCTCCTGACCTCTGAGCCATCTCTCCAGCTCCCTTTATTCACTTTGAGGTACAACTATCTAACTTTTTGCTTGTTTTCTTGGTGTTAGTATATTTTGAGTATCACTTAGTTTTGTTGAATGCCTTTCAGTTTGGATTTGCTTAATAATTTTCTTATGCTTACATCTCGGTTAAATGTGTGTGTTTGGAATAAATGAAACATTAATACAGTTATGGACTGTGTTTTTTGTTTTTGTTTTTTCAGAGACAAGATTTCTCTGTGTAGCTCTGGCTGTCCTGGAATTCTGTGGACCACAATGGCCTCGAACTCAAGAGAACTGCTTGCCTCTACCTCCTTAGTGCTGGAAAGGCATATACCACCACTGCCCAGCTATGGACTGTGTCTTTTTCTTTCTATCTTTGTGTTTTTCTAAAAGTTTTATAAATTTTGCTTTTTTACTTAAATTTATAGGCAATTCTTTTTCTGCTTTGTCTTTCTTTAATATGATGCTTAAGTAGCATTTGTTTTATACATCCTCTTCACCATTGCATTTGTTATAAAATAACACTGTAAGCTAATAAAAACAAGATAGCTTTCATTACAATCTTAACAGGTAGAATGTGGAATGTGAAAGTTTTCATTTATTTATCTTATTATATTGAGTCAGGCTCTTATGTAACCAGCTAATTCTCAAGCTCTATATAGCTGAGGATGGCCGGAAGTTTCTTGTCTCCAACCGTGAGTGGTGGGATTACAGGCTGCATGGTGGATTGGACACAGGGCTTCTCTGCATGCTAGGCAAGCACCCTACTAACTTTATATCCCCAGCCCCCAATTTATTATTATTATTTGCAGTATTGGAGACTGAACTTCTCAGGTTGTGCATAAGAGGCCAGTACGTGTTCTACCACTAAGTTATATACAATTTCTTTATTTATTTTATTCTGTGTACAATGTTCTGTCTGCAGGCCAGAAGAGGGCACCAGATCTCATTATAGATGGTTGAGCCATCATGTGGTTGCTGGGAATTGAACTCAAGACCTTTGGAGTATTAGCCAGTGCTAATACTCTGAGCCATCTCTCCAGCCCAAAGCACTTATTTGTTATGACAACATTCCATGCAGCCCAGGTTGGCTGGGAACTCCCCATGCAGTTCAGGATGACCTTGAAATCCTAAACCTGATCTCAGTCTGTGTAGTTCATGTGGTGCTGGGATTAGAACTCAAGGCCTCATGCCTGTTAGACAAGTACTCCAGTAGCTGTCCTGTACCTCAGTCCTATTTTATTTTATTTTTTTTTGTGTGTTTTGTGTTTGTTAAATTTTTATTTATTTTTGTGCAATTTGTGAAGGTCAGAAGACAACTTGGGATATCATTTTCAGAAATGCCATTCACCGCCTTTGAAACAGGGTCTTCTGTTAGCTTCTGTCCAGTGGGAATTGAACTCAGGTCTTATGCTCTGGAGGAAAGTCCTTATGGTTTGGAGGCAAGCACTTTACTGACTGAACTACTGCCTCTGGTTTACTTTTGAAGTAGAGTTTATGAGTGAATTAATTCTTGAAATAGTTCTGTCTGTGGATAATTTTTTGATATGGTAAATTTTATGATATGGTAAGAACCTTTGGCATGTGGTGGGAATTGTGAAGTTTTGGGCCCGAGAGTAGAAATTGGTTATACATATTTCTAAGCATACAGTGCTTAGTGCAGAAGCCTTAAGTATTAAAATATTATAGGTTCAAGTATTATAAATTATGTGCTTCTGAATGCTAGCCACTGTTCTTAGAACCTTATACTTCTCCTTTTGTGGAGATGGAATCTCACGTATTCCAGGCTGGCCTCAAATTTGCTTTGAAACTGCAGTTGGCTTTGAATTCCTTAGCTTCTTGCCTTTACTTCTCAGGTGCTGGATTTCAGTCCAATATGACCTGCTACATTTTATTTCTAGTTAAAATTTTCAAGCACAGATAGGAGAAAGCAGACTTGACAATCCTCTCAGCCTTGTCATTTCTGCCGGAGAACAAGAGCCTTTGTTCTAAAGCCTGATGTCGAAAGGTTAGCAAAATATTACTACATTAAGCAAGCCATAATTCGAAAACGTTCCTGAACCAAGAATAAGAGTTTTACAGATTCATCTAGAGCATTAAAAGGAACTTGGGCAGCAGTAGTTTGGGGTTTTCACACTTGTACACAAATTAGCTTTTGAAACATGAAAAGCTTGAAATGTAGAGGCTTAGAAGTTAATTTATTTCACATATTTGCATGTAGGCATGTTGTGGGGGGGGGAGGGGCTGTTGACAGAGGATCTTCCACTTTAGCTCAGGCTATTCTCAACTTCACTATGCAGCCCAAGGCTGGTCTTGAACTGCTGGCAGTCTCCTTGCCTCAGCCTCCCAAATGCTGACATTACAAGTGTAAACCACCATGCTTGTACATGGGAGAGGTTAGCGTATTTTTGTCTGTGTATTAAGTTTGCTTTGCATGATGCTTGGGCTAGAGCTGAAAATAGAATTTCAACTTCATGGGGCTTCTAGTTGAAAGAGAAAGACAGAGACAGGCACTGAGGGACTTAGCAAAGGCATGCTTAGCATTTGGAGCTATTATATGCGAAAATATGAGTAGCGTTCCCACCTCACCCCCACTTTGGAATGTGTTAACCATCCCTTTGGTATGCAGATTCGTGTGTGTGTGTGTGTGTGTCTGTGTGTCTGACTCTTTCTGTGTGTATGTGTGAGTGTTGCATGTACAGGTGAAGACAGCATCCCATCTTGTAACATGGGGTACAGGTAGTAGTGAGCTGTCTGACATGGATGCTGGGAACTGTAGTCAAAAGCAGCACTCAGTCTTAATCACTGAGCCATCTCACCACCCCTGTGACAACAAATCTGACTGTTGGCTTTGACAACAATTTATTGTAGAACTTGGTGCATATAGATATATAGACATATAGATATGTCTATAGATAAAAACAATGAAACTATCTGAGCAATGGTGGCGTTTGCTTTTAATTCCAACACTTGGGAGGAAGAGACAGGCAGATCTCTGAGTTTGAGGCCATCCTCCTCTATAGAGTAGTTCCAGGGTAACCAGCACTATACAAGGAAACTGTCTCAAAACAAAAACAAATAAAACAACAGTAAAAAACAACAAATGAAAGGATCTCAGTGGTAGAGTGCTTTGCATAGCATATTCCAACACTGGAAAAAAAAAAGGGTAGGTCAAAAAGCTGTTGCTCATGATTTAATTACAACTTTAAAAAATTTTAAAATTGATTTTTCAGGCTAGTGGTAGTAGCACATGCCTTTAATTCTAGCACTTGGGAGGCAGAGACAGCCCTGTCTCAAAAAACCAAAAACCAAAAGATGAAAACAAAAATTGATTTTTCATGATGTTGGGATTAAACCCAGGGCCATAAGTATTGCAGGCAGGTGCATGGAGTTGCCTCTGGTCTCAGTTGTTAATTGCGCTGTATGACAGAAGCTGAGAGACGCACTGATCTGAGTACAGCGGTAAGTGGCTAGGAGTGGGCTTGGTACGACATCCATTTAGCAGCGTGAGAGTATCTTCTCTCCGAGGCCTATGGCTTGTCTAGTCTTGTGAGAGATCCTCAGGCAGCTGTACCATTATAGAGTCTGTGACAGTAGGGACTGCTCAACAAAAGTTTGTATCACTGAAGAATCACCCCTTCACATAATGTCTAAAGGTATGTTTTTATGCAGGCCCTAAGTCTTCCCTCCATGAAGGAATGTCAGTAGGTCTGATCTTTTGGTCTTCAGAGTAGGAGATACCACAGCTGCACTGATTCATGAAAGCAATAGTTATGTTCAGCTTGGAGGACACAGCTACTTTACAGCTTTCTTTTCATATCCTATCTATATCTATAGATACGTGCTCTATCTGCATGTGCACCTGCACGCCAGAAGAGGGCACTGGATCACAGTGTAGATGGTTGTGAGCCACCAAGTGGTTGCTCGGAATTGAACTCAGGACCTCTGGAGGAGCAGACAGTGCTCTTACCCATTGAGCCTCTCTCCAGCCCCAGCTTTGCTTTTCCTATGTGAATATCTCCTGAATATTTTTAAACAGCTACAGACTTGGTTTAATTACAATTGGCTTGACAGTATGATATTAACATGTTCAGAATGCTCTATTATAGATGTTTTTTATACAAGCATTAGTATTTTAATAAATGTGTAATTCAGTGTTAGAATGCTTGCTTAGTTATGTGAGGCTCTGGGTTTGATCTCTAGCAGTAGTAAAATCAAAACATAGCAAAATATTGTCCAAGCAAAAACTTCAAGAAAAGTGAAATTTAAGACTAGCCTAGTTGTCAAAGTACTTGATGCAAAGATACTTAGCTGCTTGCTCTGCTCCTCATGTTTACTGATAGGATGAAAGGTGTACACTTACACTACAGTTTAAAAAATAGATTTTAAATGGCATATTAGTATACAGTGCCAGTATCAAACCACTAAATTGTTGATTTTCCTTTCTAGAATTCATCATACAAATAAAATGACAACTTCCTGGAGTGATCGCCTGCAGAACGCAGCGGATGTACCTGCTAACATGGATAAGCATGCCTTGAAAAAGTATCGGCGAGAAGCCTATCACCGGTAAGATAGCTCCACCTTAGGGAGCCTTTACTTTTCCCTTACTCTTCAGGTGATGAAATCAATACAGAGATGTTAAGTCATTTATCACAGAGCATAGAGCTAGCCTGTGATTCAAATCTAGTGACATTCAGGCTTTTAACTATTTCACACCAGTGTTATGTCTTACAGCTACTAGTAAAAATCATGAAGAAAGTCTTTATTTGCTAGAAAGTTGCATCTAGTTAATTGTAGTTTTTCCCCATTTTTCTTGATAGCCTCATGTAGCCCATGCTGGCATTGAACTCACATCCGTCTTCCTGCTTCAGCTCGTCAAGTTCTGATTATGCCTATGCACCGCCATGTCTAGGATTCTTTCTTTCTTTCAAGATGGTGTCTGCTGAGTTGCCCAGGCTGGCCTGGAATACACAGGCTTGAGCGTTCCTCCAGCCTCAGTGTTCCAAGTAGCCAGGACAGCAGGCACACATCATGCCTACCTAAGACCGAAGTCATTTTTAAAGCTTACTTACGCTGATGGTGTGTGTGTGTGTGTGTGTGTGTGTGTGTGTGTGTGTGTGTGTGTGCGCGCGCGCGCGTGCGTGTGACCATGCCACAGTCCACATGTGGAAGTTAGAGGACATCTCTGGGACATGTTTGTTGTTTCCTTTTCTTTTTATTGGATTTGGGATTGGACCCAGGTCACCAGCCTTGTGCAGCAACTGCTCTAACCTGTTGAGGTTGAAACTTTAAATAATTTATTTAGTTCTGTCTTATTTTCATTGGTGTTTTGCTTGCATGAGTGTCTGTGTGAGGGTGTTAGATCCCCTGGAACTGGCGTTACAGACAGTAACTGTTATGTGGGTGCTGGGAATTGACCCTGGATTCTCTGGAAGAGCAGCCAGTGCTCTTTACTGCTGCACCATCTCCATGTTGAGGATGAAACTCTTAACTGCTGTTTGCTAGAAATTGATTATAACTCTTAGACAGAATTTAAAATTGTGTTTACTTAACCCAGGTGCAGTACATACTTGTAATCTTAGCACTTGGGAGGTAGAAATAGGAGGATCATGAGTTCAAGGCCAGCTTGGGTTACATGAGTCATTGTCTCAAAGATAAAAAAAACAAAGTACAGAATAACAGTTTGGTTCACAATAGTAGTTTTTATTTTTTAAAAAATGTTACACGGTTCTGGTCTTGCCTTTTTACACAGAAAAGAGTAGAATTAAGGAATGGGCATGTAGCCTGGTTAGTGGTTGGTTTTAATGTAAGCTAATGATGCTTTGCTAATGTAGGCCACTATGTAGAACATTGTTTCTTAACCCATGCAAAAGTGAAAGCGTTTCTGGTTCCTGTCAAGTCTCCAAATTACATAGTGGGTATTGATGACCTCTCCTTTCTGTGTGCTGGGTTGGTATATGCCATAGGAATTCAAGTATAGAACAGAATGTTAAAACTTTCAAATGCTTATCTTATTATTGTGAGTGTATGCGATACGCATGTGTGAGTGTGGATGTTCATGTATGGAGGTCACAACTTTCAGAAGTTGGCTCTCCTTCTTCTGTGGTTTCCAGAGATTGAACTCGGGTTATGAAGGCTTGTGCAGCAAGCATTTTTACCCAGTAAGCCATCTTCTGGGCTTTAATTATTTTTTAATTAAAAAAAAGTATTTATTTTTATTTTATATGCATTGGTGTTTTGCCTGCATGTATGTCTGTGTGAAGGTGTCAGATCTTGGACTTGAACCCAGGACCTCTGGAAGACCAGTCAGTGCTCTTTACCGCTGAGCCATTTTTGCAGCCCCCACACGAGCCCTACAACAACATGTTAATATGTGTAGAGAAAACACAGGGCTGTGGAGATAGCGTAGCCGGCAGGGCGCCTCGTTAGCTGCACAGAGCCCTGGGTTTGATCCTTAGCAAAGCACATGGGGACACATGCAGGCCCAGGCCTGTTAGCTCATTACCCTGAAGACAAAGACAGGAGAAAAAAAAAGAAGTTCAAGGTCTTCCTCGGCTACATAGCAAGTTTGCAGTCATCTTAGACTACATGAGACCCCATCTTGAGTGAAAGGAAGCAAGCACAAATACTCTGCAGAATTCAGCTGTTCTCTGTGCTCATGTTCCATTATTTGGTTGGTTTTTAGGCTCGAGGCCGGCAGCTCTCAACCTTCCTAATGCTGTGACCTTTTAATACAGTTCCTCATGTTGTGCTGACCCCAACCATAAAATTGATTGTTACTTCATAACTGCAGTCTTGCTACTGCCATGAACTGTAATATAAATGTCTGATGTGCAGGGTCTGCTATGTGACCCCAGGTTAGAGCTGCTGCTCAGTGGACGCAGCATTTCCAGCAGGGGAGACAGGGCTAAACGTGCGCAGTGAAGAGCTAAATATTTACATTTCAGCAGGCGTCATCTGGTAGGCATCCTAATTGATAGTATGCCATAGTTCAATACATTTCTGACTCATTCCAAATGGTATTTCTTGTAATAATTTAGACAGGTTCCACACCCTACATTTTTCATAAGGTAGGAGTGATATGAAACAATGAAAATAACAGTATAATAGAAGCATCTCTCAAAGGTTTTTATTGTTGTTGTTGTTGTTGTTGTTTTAAATAAGGGCTCACTATGTGTAAGCTCATAACCTTCCTGCCTTGGATTTCTGATTGCTGGTGTTATAGATGTATTCCAGAAGGCCTTGTAAGTCCATTTACAAATTGTGTTTGTTGTGTTACTGGTTTTTGTGTGAAGCTGGAGTAATATGATGTGATCCTATGTGCTAGGTAAATGCTCTGCTGGGGCTTGAACCCATGACTCTTAAATACTGAGTTATATCACTCTGTCCTAATAAAACACTTTTTAATTTAAAAATATGGGTCTTAGACTCTTGCAAGTATTTTCTTTTTAAAAGTTATGCATCTATTTCTAAAATTGACAAAAATTATGTATATAATTTCAAACTTATTTTAAATAGGTGTATAGTGTGAAATGGGTAAATAAAACTAATTAACATTCATTAACTTGGGGCTGGGGAGCTAGCTCAGTTGGTGAGGTGTTTGCCGTAGGAACGTGAACTGATCTTCAGAAATCACGTTAAAAACAGAAACCAGGTCTGGTGAACTGGGGAGGTGAATATAGGAGGATTTTTAGCGCTCTCTGGCCAGCCAGGCTAGTCTACTTGGTAAGATTTAGGTTGATGAGAGACCTTGTCTCAAAAAATACAGGGGGCGACACCTGAGGAATAATATCTGAAGCTGACTTCCAGCCTGTCTGTGCACACACATGCCTCTATGCTGTGTTTGCTTTTAAACTGTTCTATCTGGGGGCATTGAAGCCTCCACTTCCTTTCCACCAACCCTTCAACCCTAGGTAAGAGAGAGAAGGTCAGTGAGGAGAGGGGCACAGACCCCTTTACTTCTCCCAGCTGTTGAGGGTGGGTGGGTTCTTTTGGGGCTATCCCAATCTTCGTCAACAGCCAGTGCAGTCAGCAGTCTCCTCCAGGCCCCTGCACCAAATCACATCTCTACTGTGCCTCTCTAAACTGCCACTCACCACATGCGCCACTTTCTCTCTCTGGGCTCTCCTATTGATATCCCTCAGAGTGCTAGACCATGCCCCTCTCCGTGCAGCATGAGGCTCTTACCAGCTGGCAAAGCCCATGCCCCCCAGGAGGCCGTTATCAACTATGGACAGACTGAAATCTCACACTTGGGAACAAAGACATATTTACATAACATAAGTGAGTTTTTAAAGAAACCAAAACTTCCACTACACCTACATTTGTCTGTTCAGAAGGACATATTTTTATGGAAGTACATGTACTTGCACATGAGCACACACACACACACACACCATTAACTATTTTGTGGTGAGATCACTTGAAGTTTCAGGGCGGTCTTGGCTACATAATGAGTTCAAGGCTAGCCTGGGATACATAAGACCTTGTCTCAAATAACATCCTCCACTCCAAAAAAAAAAAAAAAAAGGAAAATGCAACAAAGATTCCTCAACCATTTTGAGTATACAATATTTTATTATTAACTTTTATTACCATGTTGTAAAATAGATATCTTGAGCCAATCTTTCAAACACTGTTTTCTTAGTTGATGAAAAATTTGAGACATGAGGCCTTGCTTCAAATGATCCCCCATCCCACCGCCAAATGAATTGGTCCTGCATGGTGGCACACACCTGTAATCATGCCGTTTGTGGGTCTGAGGCAGGAAGATTAGGAGTTCAAGGTCAGTTTACCAAGGTCAGTTTGAGGCCAGCATAGGCTATATGAGACCCTCTCAAATAACCAGAAGTTTAAAAAAGAAAATGTATTTAGTGATGGTGTGTGGCGCTCTTCCTGGGGAGATAATCAACAAACATCTACTCCCCCACTAGGGAACTGACAACAGACCAGAGTTAAGGGTGCCGCCAGAATCCAACTTGGTGAACCAGGGAGTTTTGGGGTTACTTCTAGGAGCAGAAATGACTCAAATGAAGTTCTCTTACCAAAAGTCCATCCCAGCATGGGTGATGGCTCTTGAAAGCTGGAGCTCACTGTATAGAACTTAGGCAGCTTGAAAGGTGGAGAATCTACTTGACTGTTCAGATGGTCTGAGCCTTTCCTAGGCAGCTTGACTTGTTGGAGAGTGTTTTAGAGCTGCTCAGCCTGTCTGAACCTGTTAGAAGCAGCTTTGCTTGTCTGATTTTATCTCTCAATGGTCCTTACTGCTTACTTATTTATGCTTGGGGGAAGAAAGGGCCTAATGCATCTGGTAAGTTTCTGGAACTTCATGAAGCTTTTGAGTTATGTACTCTCTGAGCCTAACTAGCATCCCTGCAGGATTGAACAGGCTCACCTATCTTTAGAACATCATGTACCTTTTCAAGCTTCTTCCCAAGATAGAAGTGTTTCTTGGAGGATTTCAAGAGAACAAGTGGAAACCATTTAGTTTTACTACTTTTCTTTCTTTCTTTTTCCCTCCCTCTTCTCTCCCTCCCTCCCTCCCTTTGTGTATTTATTTTTGAGCA